TGAAATGCAAAAACAAAACTTACAACAAATACATTAAGATGTTTTCAAACGAGTGAAGACTTTTGGAGATATGATGTAAAACTCGACAAGTATAGAAACTCATTCACAAACTAACACAATATTACTAATATCAAGTTTAGCGTTAGAGCTAACGAAATATTACTAACATTATATTACTTTATGACTACTTATCTAAAAACTGTTAGTAGTTTTTAGAGAGAACTCAAGTCTCAATTCTCAACGAGAATATCAACGAATCTCATTCAAAAGCTAACACAAGTTAAAGGTAGTTAAGAGCTAGTGATCGGTTTGGTGTCCAGTACTGTAATTGTGTCGAGAGCGGCATCAGTCGCTCCCTTTATGCTATCGATCAGACCATCAAAATGTTCTGAGCGCTGAGAACTCATGATTGTCTCATCCTCTCACTGAGTCGGTCTTAATACTGCAGTGTTGGTGCATTTAATCAATAAGCAGCTCTGATTGGCTGAACTACTCTTATGCCCAAAAATGGGCATAGAGAATGCATACTGCAGTGGATATGTCTATCATGTAATGACGCATAGGGGTGACTCACTCTCCTCTCTCGCTTTTGCCGAATACTGACACAATAAATGCTTAGCAGCACTTTTGTGTTGAATATGTGAGTATGTGTTTATATAATGATAAAAGTATAGCTATGTTAAGAAATAGCTTGTAATAGAGTATGAAATATATCATGTATAAAAAGACATTGAAATGTAATATAAATGATGATTATTGGTCCATTGTAGAAAAATGTACTGATGTCGGTTTGATATTATTGACTTATTGTACACTACTTGAGATGACCTTTCCAACAATATATGACACAACTGAATCGTATGTGTAGTTTGTCCGCTATGGCCACTTGTTGCCGAACTTCCATAGTATTACATGTAAGAGTCGGGAGATCGTCCATTGTAGAAAATCTGTCGAGTGTAACTCGCTCATTTCTACTTATGTTCATCCGTTAAGAGGGCTTCATAGATGGTGTAAATTGTACGGTTCTCATCAGAGGGCTTTGGCCCCCACGGCCACTTTCCCGAACTTCGGTAACTTTACATACGGATAACTCGTGAACTGCTTGTAGCGGGACCGTGATATTTATATGGTATATGCGGTACGATAATGTGATTATAATGATGTAAGATAAGTGTCCGTCCGCCCTCGGGATTACCGATTCTGGCCAGATTACCGATATTATACGGTAATGTATGGGTATATTTAGGTATATGTACAATATAAAGTGAGTATAACATAGTATATGAATGGTGTAAATACAATTGAATAAAGTATTGGCGCGAAAAAATATAAGAGAGAGTCACGTGTCGAATAGTGGCTAATAACAGGGTTTGACTGTTGTTTAGATTTACCATTAATGATGTTCTACTGTACTAAACTATTATTTTCCTGTCAATATAGTCATTTGGTATAAAATGATAAATACAGTATTAATATTCCGTTATTTTTTATAACATATTTTTTATATCAAAACTATGAAATCATTCTCTATTAATATTTAACACAATTAATATAACCTAATGTTAATCGATATGCGATGTAAAGGCACAAAAACAGTCCTATATTTCTAATACTGTACTACTATTAAACCCATACTTCAATATAGAAATGTTTAATATATTAACATTAGATTTAATTGCATGTCATTTAAATTCAATTATTTTAATCATATTTTAATCATCAAAACTTAATCGAAATTTTGCTTTAATAATGAATTTATATTAATATATTTAGTATCTTATCGACAATTTCAAAAAATTAGAACAAAGATTAATAGCAATTAATAAACAAATTTCTTGTTTCACAATATTTTTTGCTTAAAACTTATTTTTATTATAGATTTTAGAGATACATGTCATGAAAAATATACTTAATTCGCATAAAAATGATTTGATTTAAACTTAAATTCGGGTGTTTTATAAAAATAATGTTTGAATTAATAAATATAACAAGTATTATATATAAGGCATAGAAATTAAGTTAACTGTAACTGTAAAACATAGTATTATATAATAATAATTGTCAATAAATTGCACTTAAAATTCATAATTTTATGTCAAATTCGTTAAAATAGTGATTCTAAGGAATTAGTGCTCATTTTGACAATTTATTTATAAATATAGAAACAATTGATAAATTATTAATATATTAATTATATTAAATTTAATATATATTAAAGCACTGCAACTATAAATGAAATATAACTTAAGATCCATTTACAGTACGCTTTGATGGAGGGATCAAATGGTCGGGTAATTGTTGGGGTAAGTCGTGACCGTTGAGCTTAATTTGGACCAAATGCATGGCTAATGCGAATTCATCTGAGTCTAGCATTCCATCTCGATCCAAGTCCGACAGTTTCCAGATTTTGCCCAAAACACTGTTCGGTAGTTTCGATTTGACGAGTTCTGACTTGGCTTTCGCGCCCGTAATCTTGCCGTCGATCGGTTCCATTGTGTCGAACATCTCATCATATTTCGCTCTATCCTTATCCACAATCCATTCCTTGTCCAGAGAGCCCGCGTCCACGCCTTCGCCCCGCATATATCCAAACGGAGACTCCTTTACGCCTTCAAACGCACCGCCCTTTACTACTGTCTCCTCTTTCGTATCGATTTGTTCCTAAATTACAAATTAAATGTTAAATAGAGTTGCGATAAAAGACCTGAATATGTCATACCTGAGGAATCATTGCCATAAGTTTCGCGATATCGTTGGCGAGCATAGAGTCGACGGCGTCGAGCAGTGGTTTCTTCAATGGATGGAATTTCGTGAAGTCGTGATGCATCAGCTTTTCCTGCATTTCGTGTAAGTCTGGGAAGTCTCCGATCGGAACCCCGTATTCGCGCTCTATTTCCGTGAATATGTTTCCCAAATGTTTAATCAATTCCTTCTTTTTGGACTCTTTGCCAAAAACGGACGGCATTTCCTTTCGTAATGAACTAATGATATACGCGTGAACCTAACCGTACGGATCAACACATTGTTAGATAGGACTAGTAATGTAGAAAATGAGCTGAAAATTACGACTAATTATATAATAATTTTAATGACTGTTCACCAGAAGAGAGAGAGAGAGAGAGAGAGAGAGAGAGAGAGAGAGAGAGAGCGTTTTGGTTGTAAAGATCGAAATGAGAAGATAGGAGTTGTGTGTATGTGTTGTTTGAGATGAGATTCAGTCCTTTTGGTTGTTTAGCAATGAAGCAGAAGAAGAGAAATGAAGAGCAGGAGTGGAGTTAACACAAGTCTGTGCTGTTGTGGATGTGCTCTCATCTCAAGACGACGACGACTGAAAGGCAACGGCTTTTCTGCTATAATAAAGTTATTTATATGCAGTTTGGTGTGGACTCCCTCGGGATGATAACGAGGCCAACATTTACCAGATATGCCAACAACTCATATAATATCACACAAAACCCAAACCCATATTATAGGCTATTCCTTATGCCATAGCCTCTCGAATAACATCAAATCTCGGCTCAAAAACTGGATATTCTTGTCTTGATTTTCTCTCCACTGAAACAAAAGCGCAGATAATATTAATATAATATATTTTCATAAATTATTCACTTTTCGTATTATTTTAATTTTATGTTTTCGCTTAAAAGCGAAACACTATTTTGTTATATGTAATTGAATTAAACATTAATATCCAATACAATGAGACACAACTTTATACCTCTAAATTGATTTTGAATTTGAATACAATTAATCTTTATATACATAAAGTTTTGTTTTCTTGTAAAACGAGAGAATAAATGCAATACAAAAAAGACTAAATAAAAAACAAATAATAAGTAAATTAAAACTGTTTTTGGTTTGCCTTTTGATGTGAGCTCTAACTCAACATTGGGTTCAATATTCTAGATATGGAAACGACTTATTTATTCACAAACAGTGTATTTATTGTTAAAAATTGTTTTTTCTTTCTTAACTAAACCATTCATTCAAATACGTTAAGATCAGAAACCTTTTGATTCATTAATAAATTCATAAATGTTTATCAAATATTAAATTATAAATGCAGTCCAAGTGTTAGGTTTTGAGTGTTGTTTGGACTCGATTTTAATATTAATATTTGAATATTTTTATATACATTTTGAACACTCAATGTGTTTGAAAAATCTTTTTATTTTTTCTTTTCCTTTAACAACATATAAACAAAATAACAAAATATAATCGATTGAACAGTTCTTTAGTTACTTTATATTTTTGTTTTCTAATTTAAAAACAAAAAATAATAACAAAAAAATGTTTAATCAAAATATATATTCATATGTAATACAGTATTTGGAGCGACGGTTTGCATTGGAAATGTCGTTTACAGTGTAATTGCAATCTATATGTCATATAAGTTAAGTATTTTTGTTTAAAGTGGAAAAACAACACCAGTTTTCTGTTAATGAGTTTATTGTGTAATTAAAAGACAATACATATGGAAATATTTGCTCATTATATATGAACCAAGACTTCTCTCTCAACTCATTAACTCTTTCTTCAGTTGTCGTCAAAATGAGATACAAGAATGTCTTCAAAAAACCATTTCAATGCATGAATTATAATAAATATTAAAAAATATACACAAGATTTCCATCCCTTCAGAGCTTAATATATGAGGCGATATAACTTAGAGAGGGAGGGAGAGGGAGATCATTGAAAGACAAGACCCCTTCCAGTCTATTTGCATTGTGTTAATGAAAATGAATAAATATTTGTACAAAAATTTCTTTAAAAAATATTTAAATTAAATAAACACAAGAATAAACAGAAGTAATGAGGAAAGAATGTTAAATAACTTATTTGCTTAAAAACATATGATAAAAATATTATTATTTTGGTCTGAAATCAAATTTAGACACATATCTCTATTTTATGCGCAAAACTCATGGGATATTCAGTGATATTGTTATCATTTAAATAAAATGATAAAAACAGAAGTTCGCTATAAATGTAATCATATTTACGCCTAAATAAGTGAGAATAAGAGGGTATCTCGTGTTGTATCTCAGTATTAGCCACGAAAATATGGAGAGAGAGAGAGAGAGAGAGAGAGAGAGAGAGAGAGATAAAGTTTTACTTTATTATACAATTTCTCTAATTTATAAATAAAAATAAGAGAGAGAGAGAGAGAGAGAGAGAGAGAGTACTGGGAGGAGATGAAGGATGAGATGAACGCGAGGGCTCAATGAAGCGAATGGTCACACAACGAGTGCAGTCTATGATCACTGCTTTTTTAAGGCATCACAAGAGAGAAAGAGAGAGAGAGAGAGAGAAGAGAGAAGAGAGAGGGAGAGGTTTGGTTCAGTGTTTTAAGCATTTTGTGTGTTGGAGTGGCAGTTCGTGGGCCCTGACGTCCGCACACATATACACACTGTCTGTATATTAAGGGGCTTTAGTGTTGTGAAGAGATTGAGCTCATTGTGATGGTAGTGATGGTATATATATGGTGTGCACCACTGGTCTGTCAGCTCCCAAAATGGGTGTCAGAGAATATTTATGACGCGAAACGACTCCATACACGTCCAGCTCTTTGCCAAAGAAGATAAGTTCACCAAATGAACTGAAAGCCAAAACTAAAGACACAAACTTCACACACAAGGGGAGAGAGAGAGAGAGAGAGAGAGAGAGAGAGAGTTGAGAAATGAAAGAGAGGCTCACTTTGCAAAGTATAGCATCATTTAGATAGTGGTTAGAAGTGAAAAGAAAGCCTAATATAAAGTATATAAGCAAAAGGGAGAGAGAGTAATATGTGTGCCTTCTTTAGTCTTTTCTCGTTTAAAAAAGTTAAGTTTGAGTTCTGGTGTTTAGTGTTGTTCTTGTTGTTGATCTGCAGAGTTGTTGCCATCAAATGGTGGCCATTAATCTCAGTCAGACGTTATGATCCGCCCGTTTCCTAGACCTTTAGGGCCTCACCGACAATGAAAAAAGAGAAAAAAGTATTTTTTGCGTTAATCTAACAAAAAATTGCAGAAATTCTGGAGCTGAACATAAAATGATTAACTATTGCCATCATATATTCTCTTATGTGTCTCACATCTCGCTCTCTCTCTCTCTCTCTCTCTCTCTCTCTCAAACACTAACAACCAGTAGAAGAAAGAATTAAGGCTTATATTACATTCATTTTGTCATTCTTTAACATAATTTAGTTTTTCATTAGAATTCATAAATAATTTTCTCGACTTTGTTTTTGTTACAAAAAGCTATGAGTTTTGACTTAATTTATGATAAGAACTCGTATTCATAGATAGGAATCAAAACAATTATTACTCCAAAAAACATTTGATTGTATCGTTAGATATACCGAGTATTTAGCAAAAAATAAAATGTGTTTTTTGTTTCACTTCTCAATGCATATGAATATTGTTCTCAGAAGTGGTCAACGAATGAGAGGGAAAAAGAGATAGCGTTGGTGTGTAAGTGTGGACCGACCTGTGCTAAACATAATGTGCATATAGTGTATAAATATATAGTAGATTGTGGTTCAGGTGCTAAACACATATAACATTAATAGTAGGCTTAGAGTTGAGGATTTAATAGTATATAATTTAGTGGTCTCTTCGCAAAATTGTGCCCAAAATTTAGCTCCAAATTGGGCTCAAATTGCAGTGTTTTGTGTGCAGACACTGAAAATGCACACAAAATACTTATGATATTATGTATTGGCTGTCAGAGCGACGAACGCTACCGACGAATAAGCCATCATAGGGTCAGCCAGAGGTCAGCCGTATGTCTTACGACTGGGCCCTCAACTGGGTATTAAGCGCTCGGCTCTGGTGGCGGCCCTAACATCGCTGTATCCACAGTATGTGTGGTGTTATATCTGTTATGTATCTATAGATCTAACATAAAATTCATGCAACACTAGGGAGAGAGAGAGAGAGAGCAAGAAAGAGAGAGAGAGAGAGAGAGAGCAAAGTATGAATGGTATGGAGAGAGACACGACTCCCCCGAGCAAACTATTGACAAACATTTGTGTGCAGTTGTTTTAGACCAGAGAGAGAGAGAGAGAGAGAGAGAGAGAGAGAGAGAGAGAGATCTTTTGTATTTTTGACATGTTTTTCGTTCAATTTTAAAACCTCTGGTAAAGTAATATCCATAAGAATGCAAACAAAATAGACGTATAATTCAATAATTCTTAAACACTTAAAACACTTAGATTTTGTTGTGATGAATGTCTCGCATAAAGAGGAGCTCAAAAGTGTTCAAATATAGTTTGATTAATTGCCGATTCAATCATGTCTTCGCAACCAATATTAGGAGTCATATCACAGACATATCAAAAAGAAAAAGGTCTTAAAAATTAGTTAATATAAGGCATAACACTATGAAAGACAGAAAGAAAGAAAGAGAGGGAGAGATTGGCGGTGAAGTGAATGAATGGCTGAGATGTGTATGTCGTGGCACATGTTATGCCAATAAATCAAAAAACCGAAATTCAGTATTTTTATGTCTCCCGAAACCGTAGACCGCAATGCATTGGTTTAACACTCTCTTCATATTGAAGACCAAAAGGCATTGCAAACGAGAAGAGAAGTTGTCTTCAGGCTATCAATCGGATCCCAAAGCCAACGATTGCGGCAAAGAATGAAAACTAAAAACAAGTTGTGTTTAGAGTACATAAAAAATATATAAATTATAATATAGTGTACTCTCTGTCTATACGTACATAAAAGTGGGCGCAAAATAAAATCTTGAGAGAGAGAGAGAGCCACTGCTATTTTCCATGTATTCACAACCATTAATACATCGAAAACCTGTGTATAATATATTATAATACGATATGATATGCAAAGTATAAATAATCGCAAACTAATAATTTGTCGCATAAATAGTCGCCGCTATTATTGCAAAGGATTTACTATTTTTATATCGCATATAATGAATGGAATGAACAAAAAAGTCGACAGTTTTTATATACATTATGTTTGAGATATGATAGTGTAGTAAATCGATGAGACGGGGAG